AGTGAGTGCCATGGCGTCAGCCTCGCTCACAGCAACCTCCAACTCCTGGGCTCAAGCGATCCTCCTGCCTCAGCCTCCTCCCGAGTAGCTGGGACCACAGGCGTGCGCCACCATGCCCGGCTAAGTTGTTCTATATATATTAGTTGGCCAATTAATTTATTTCTATTTTTTAGTAGAGATGGGGGTCTCGCTCTTGCTCAGGCTGGTCTCAAACTCCTGACCTCGAGCCATCCTCCCGCCTCGGCCTCCCAGAGTGCCGGGATGACAGGCGTGAGCCACTGCACCGGGCCGATACCTCGAGTTTTAATGAATTTCACTCTTTGTGGCCCGCTGAGTCAGTCACATAGAAAAGACACTAAGTTAAGAGGGAGGGTTGGAGTTCTCATTTTGCCACTTACTGATTTGGAAACTTGGGGCGAATCATCTACTTACTGGGTCAGTTTTTATTCTACAAAGCGCAGCTGTAAGCCCTGCCGTGTTTTCTCGGGGACTTGTGAAGACGATCAAAATAAGATAAGGACATAGAAAGGCACTCAGTACATCGTAGAACCACCTTCCAGTTAAAGGACATCATTATTTTCCTCCCTTGCTCTTTTGCTGATTTTATTTAACGAAAGCAAGTAACCGCTCAAGCAAGTTTCTGAGGTTAAGAACGGCCGGTTTCGCAACCGTGGTTCTGTCACTCCTAATTCTTCAAAGCCTTGGTAAATAGGAGAAGTGGCTCTTTCAAGTTTCTCGGAGCATTGCTAAAGGTTTTCAGTAAGAGGTGAGGCAATGCTGGAAGGCAGTATGCACCCGCGGGAGGGCCAGGTGTTCTGTTACCATTTCAGCGTGGTGTCCGGCAATATGTAAATGCAGGAATAGGATAATGCACATATCAAGATATTATCAGCTACACATTTTGTATAGTCATCATTTGAAAACTTCATTCTTTCAAACGCTTCAGTCTGAAGCATTCCCTTCTTCATTCTCTTGCTGTTATGATTGTTTCATGGGGAGGGCTTATTTTCGGGCTTGAAACGCGGTATGTACTAGCTGTGGGACCGTGGACAAGTTACTTAGCCTCTTGCTGCCAAATTATTGGGCCAGGTAAAAAGAGGTAATCATTGTCGCCATCCAGCTGTCGTGGACAATGAAATGCATATAATGCACAAGAAAGCCTCATGGAGGGTCTGCTACATACAGTGTCCACAAGAAATTTTGGGGCTTTATTAATTCGCTTGTCTTCATTGCTTCTATCACCTACATGCAACTACCTACCTATTAATACCGTGTTTTCCCGAATATAAGACCCACCCATAAAATAAGGCCCAGCAGGATGTCTAAGCATGTGTGCAATAGAAGCCCTACCCCGAAAATCAGCCCCGGTGATGGGCGTGGCCATGAAAATCAGCCTTGGTGATGGGCGTGGCCACGAGAATCAGCCCTAGTGGTGGGCGTGGCTATGAAAATCAGCCCTAGTGGTGGGCGTGGCTATGAAAATCAGCCCTGGTGTTGGGTGTGGCTATGAAAACCAGCCCTGGTGGTGGGCGTGGCTATGAAAATCAGCCCTGGTGGTGGGCGTGGCTATGAAAATCAGCCCTGGTGATGAGCGTGGCTGCGCAGCGCATCTGCACAACCCATGCGTGTCGTCACGGAGCAGGAAAGAACACGAGCAGCCCTTCTCATCCGCCCCGTGAGAGCTCTAGTGCTCGACAGGAGAGATCGGGGCCGGTGGCTCTAAAGGAAACAGAGTCCCGAGACATTCAGGATGGGATTCGGGGTCTGGAGAGTGAGGATGATGTTCCAGAAGAAGACGACTTTACTCTATTGGAATCAATGCAGATGGTTGTACCGTACTTAAGAAAAAAATAACACATCCCCTGAAAATAAGCCTTAGGGTGTCTTCTGGGGGAAAAATAAATGTAAGACCCTGTGTTATTTTCGAGGAAACACGTTATTTCTGCAGCATGCTCTTTTTAATATCTTTTTCTTGTTCATTTTGTTGTTGTTTGGATGATCGGGTTGGAAGGAGGCTGAGGCTAACATGGGGTTTGGAGGTAATCAGCGTTCACTACCCTCCTCATCACCTCACCGTGACATGCCAGGATTCTAAGTGAAGTTTGAAGAAGTCGCGTGACTCTCCTCCAAGGGAGGCAGGCGGGCAGCTGGAGCCAGGGCTCATGCTGAGCATGTGTGCTGGGCCACTTCCCTGAACTGACCCAACCTCTCTGTGTCCCCCTGGTCCCCAGTCTTCAGATTAGCCAGAATATGTCATCCTTCGTAGTAATTCTGCAAATTGTTCCTGTTCTTACAAACCGGTGAAGTGGTGACGGGAAGTGACAATAGTTGGGTTAGCTGGAAAAAAAAAAAAAAACAAACAAAACTCCAATTAGGGAAGTCATTACTCCCGTTTAGAAAACGTGACGCTTTGTGCCAGCCCCGAGTGATCCGGGCGTGGGAGTGACGGACGGATATGTTAGCAGTTACTTTCACTCAAGTCCCACATCTGTTTTTGTGAGTTACGTTCTTGAAAACCAGGTGCCTGGCACACAGCAGCGGTAAAAACGCAAGGGTCAGCTTGTCCTGGTTTTAGTAAGCAAGCGGGCAGGACAACAGAGCAAAGCTGTGCGGAACGCAGCGGGCGTTTTGAACTCGGCGTAGGTGCCAGCTGCTCACACCACACGTTGGTAAACCCAGATCCAACTGGAGACAAGATTTTACAAGACTCAGATTGTGCAGGGCGGCGCCTTGTTGGCAGGTATGCTTGGGTCCAGGGCAGCTACCTGGGGTTTGTTTGGACTCTGGACCACAGAGGTAGCTTGGTGCAGAGAGGGACGTGCTAAACAAACAGTGAGCACTTTTTTATGTAAACTGCAGTGAGATCTAGCTGAAACCTGTTAGTCCCTAGGGTGATAGAATGTGTTATTAGCAGTGCTGGCCTTTAGAAAAAATAATCCCTTACTGTTTTGAGACCTTCAAAAAACAAAATTTGAGGAGCTGAGAGAGAACAGATTCCTTTTTTTGCAGTCTATTCTTCATGCAGTATGTAGTAATACATAATATTATATATTACATGTACATATGCATGTACATGTAATATATATGTATGCAATATGTAATATAATATGTATATAATATATGCATTTGTATACAATATATAATACATATATGATATATAATATGATATATAATACATATGTATGTAATATATAATATATACATATGTATATAAAATGTAATACATATGTATATAATATATAATACATATGTATATAATACATAATACACATGTATATAATATATAACACATATGTATGTAATATATAATACATATGTATATAATATATAACACATATGTATGTAATATGTAATATATACATATGGATATAATATATAATACATATGTATGTAATATGTGATATATACATATGTATATAATATATAGTACATATGTATGTAATATATACATATGTATATAATATATACTACATATGTATGTAATGCATACATATGTATATAATGTATAATACATATGTATGTAATATGTAATATATACATATGTATATAATATATAATGCATGTGTATGTAGTGTATACATATGTGTATAATATATAATACATTTGTATGTAATATGTAATATATACATATGTATATAATATATAATACATGTGGATGTAGTGTATACATATGTGTATAATATATAATACATATGTATGTAATATGTAATATATACATATGTATATAATATATAATACAATTTAATAAAGTGGGCATATTTGAATGAACATATTCTCTTCATACAGTTTTTTTTTTTCTCTTTTTCTCACTCTGGCTAATATTCTGGTTTATTAATGGAAGGAGACAATAGAAGGCGAAGTTCATTGAACACTTACTATGTACCAGACATTTTGCGAAGTGACTTGTGTATCATACCTCAGATAAAGTACAGTGCTGAGCGGATTATAAATCGTTAGCATAGACATAAATAACCACTCGAGAACATTGCTTTAGTTCATACCCTACTCCATCTAGTTACATTTTACCTTCTAAAAGAAACATTTGGGTATGTTATGTAACTGTCTAACCATTATGAAATTCTTGTGCATTGCTACATTTTGTAGCATTTGGAAGTTACTGTTTATCTCAAAGACATTCAGTCCCCCCCCCCAGTTAATAATCTCTTGAGAATAAAGAACAGAAGTTGTTCAGACATAAAACGATCTGGAAAAAAAAAAGAATAAAAAAAGAAAAAAAAAAGGATAAATATTTTTATCTTTAAAACACTCAAATTTAAAAAAAATGTAAATTAAAAAAATTGAAAGAATTTAAATTTAAAAATAAATTTAAAAATTTAAAAAAAATAAAAGAGGAAAAAAAAATTACAAAATATATTAAAAACAGAATTCGCCTATGCTGTAAATGCCTATAGCATTTGTGCAAGTACGTAAATAGGCATTCCTCAACACAGGTGTGAGGCTTTTTGCTTTTGCAGTGAACTCTTCTTTGGCGGCTTGCAAAGAAGCACAGAACACACACAAACACACGCGTGCACACACACCCATGCTTTTTAAAATCTGTGGCCGGGTGTGTGGCTGACTCCTTTCAATCAATAGAATGCAGCTGGCGAGATCATGAAACGATGGCAGTTTCAGTTTCAGGTCTTTTAAGGTGTAAGGAGGCAAGTTAGTTTCCTCTGCTGTGCTCTTGGTAACCGTAAAAACCCCGGCTCCCCTGAAAGCACCAGGCTGGGAGGAACCCCCACCTGGCCGTGTGGAAAATGCACATGGGGCAGAAATCAAGGGTCTGGGTGACAGTCTTGGCTCAGCTCTTCTTTTTTTTTTTTTTGAGACAGAGTCTCACTTTGTTGTCCAGGCTAGAGTGAGTGCCGTGGCGTCAGCCTCGCTCACAGCAACCTCAAACTCCTGGGCTCAAGCGATCCTCCTGCCTCAGCCTCCCGAGTAGTTGGGACTACAGGCATGCACCACCATGCCCGGCTAATTTTTTATATATATATCAGTTGGCCAATTAATTTCTTTCTATTTATAGTAGAGACGGGGTCTCGCTCTTGCTCAGGCTGGTTTTGAACTCCTGACCTTGAGCAATCCGCCCGCCTCAGCCTCCCAAGAGCTAGGATTACAGGCGTGAGCCACAGCGCCCGGCCTTGGCTCAGCTCTTAGGTGACAGCCAGCGTCAGCAGGAGGACCAACTTGCTGGGCATGTGGGTGAGGTCGTTTCAGCCCTTCTCGGCCAGTCCAGCGTCTCAGCTGGACACATGCGAACCAAAAGAACTGCACGTTCAGCTCACAGCAGCACGATTCACAATTGCAAAGCTGTGGAAACAACCCAGGTGCCCATCCATGCACGAGTGGATTAATAAAACGTGGTCTGTGTGCACCACAGAGCACTACTCAGCTCTGAGAAACAGCGGTGATCCAGCACCTCTTGTGTGTTCCTGGCTGGAGCTGGAGCCCATCCTACTAAGGGAAGCGTCCCAGGAATGGAAACACAAGCACCATGTGCACTCACTAAGGCAAAGAGCATCCCCACAATGTGGGCAAGTTTTTAAATTTAAGTGGGATCCGAGAGGTTCTTGATCTTGGCTGCGCGTTAGAATGCTCTGGGGAGTTTTCCAGAAAGAATGATCGTCCTGACCCCATCCCAAACTACGTCAATTAGAACTTTCTCCAAATACAGCCCAGAA